TTTGAAAGATTTTTTGTTCAAGTGCAACAAATTCAAGTACAAATAAAATAAAGATGATGACAACAAAAAATAGTTCGATAATCAAAATATCAAAATGAGAACTATAACAATACTAATATAACTACAATGACAAATATCAACCACCCTAATTAAGACAATCCCACATTATTTTAGCAAACAAAAGAAAGTACTCCCTTCGACAACTTTTAATTATCATAATTTTCTTTTTTTATAGTCAAACAATAAGAACTTTGGCTAATATTTTACAGTATTTTTTTTCATCATATTTGATATGCAAAAAATTGCAATTTATAATATTTTTATATAATTTTTAAATACCTGAATTTTTTATTTAAAATATTAAATTAAATTAACTTTCAAAATATAGCAATGTAACAACCGGAGCAAGGAGTACAAGCATGGACAAATCCAACACGTCAGTTGTGGGTAGAGAATATTAAAAGCAACAGGTAGGGAAGCTTTCCATTTCCCAACCGCCACATCGCACTACGTGTCACTCCCACATTTATCCCTCTCCTCTGTCACTCTTATTTCTCCGATCAATCACCACTCTACTTTTCCCCAATTCCGAAACAAAAAGGTTGTAGAAATCAGTGAGGTTACAAAAAAATGGTGTTAACAACGACTTCCATAAGAGAGTCAGAAGAGAGCTTGCACTGTACATTTGCATCAAGATATGTACAGGAACCTTTACCTAAGTTCAAAATCCCTAAAAAATCCATGCCGAAGGAAGCAGCTTTTCAGATTGTAAACGACGAACTTATGTTGGATGGTAACCCGAGGTTGAATCTAGCTTCCTTTGTTAGCACATGGATGGAGCCGGAGTGCGATAAGCTCATCATGGCATCCATTAATAAGAACTATGTCGACATGGATGAGTACCCTGTCACCACTGAACTTCAAGTCAGTACTTATTGCTTCCTCGCTCGCACTTTCTGTAATAATTATTATTAGTTGAGTGTCTTTTGTGTTGATTTTCTGAGATAAAAAACTATTAGTTGATTGTTCTTGGGAGTAAAATAAGAAATTTTAACTTAAATTGCAAATTCAGTAGAACGATATTCTATTGACGATATTTGATGAACATAGGAGCTTAGTTTAAGTTCAATGCACTGAGATAATGATTAGGTCATTTATTAATTAGGTAAATATAGATAAATCTCTGGATGAAGATTAATTGATAATCTGTAAAAGTTGAAACTAACTTGGTAGATCTATAAACTAGACAGTGCATATAACTCGAATCTTTTTGTTAATGTTACTAGAAAAATATTGAGGTAAAAAGTTAGTTTGTTGCTACTTCAAAGTGTAGGTATAGTTTGATGATTTTGGATTGAAGTTGTTGGAACGTAAACAGCCTCTCTACTTGACCCGAGGGTCCATTGGAAACAGACCTGTGGAATTATACTGGGTATGTAGTTGTTGTTGAATGGAATTAAAGTTTTGCGAGTTGCAAAATTGAAATAGTATGATATTAATATGAAGAGAGGAGATAATAATATTTATGCTTTTGGGTAGATACTGTTGATATTCAGAGTGATTTGATTTTGTGTTTGCAGAATAGGTGCGTTAACATGTTAGCACATCTTTTCCATGCGCCAGTTGGTGATGATGAGACTGCAGTAGGAGTTGGTACAGTGGGTTCATCAGAGGCAATCATGCTTGCTGGTCTTGCTTTCAAACGCAAATGGCAAGCGAAAAGAAAAGCAGAAGGCAAACCTTTTGATAAGCCTAATATAGTCACTGGAGCTAATGTGCAGGTGAATCAGACTTCCAGTCAACTTTGCAGCGTCTTTCTTGTACTGTGGACATGAGTTTGAATGCCTATTTCTTCTGTTTATTGGATTAATATATCAAATTTTGACTTGTAATCCTAGTCTTGAAACATATGATGAAATTCTACTTGGTGATATTGTTGACAATTTGCAATCTGTTACTTCCTAGTGGCTAAATCTGATCAGATGGAAATAGATCTCTTTTAAACAAATATTCTGTCAATTGTCAACACTAGTCCCTTAATCACCCTTTTGGAGCAAGCTTACTAGAACCTTGTTAGTCTTGTATAATTGTCTTGATTACTAAAGTTTGGTTTCTCTGCTCTCTGTTGTTTTCGGTTCTGCTGAAACTTTTCTGTCTGAATTATGGGGTATAGGTCTGCTGGGAAAAATTTGCAAGGTACTTTGAGGTTGAATTGAAGGAGGTGAAACTAAAAGAAGGATACTATGTAATGGACCCTGCCAAAGCAGTAGAGATGGTGGATGAGAATACAATATGTGTTGCCGCAATCCTTGGTTCTACTCTGACTGGGGAATTTGAGGATGTGAAGCTCCTAAACGAGCTCCTTACGAAAAAGAACAAGGAAACTGGATGGGATACACCGATCCATGTCGATGCTGCGAGTGGAGGATTTATTGCTCCTTTCCTGTGGCCAGATCTCGAATGGGATTTCCGTTTGCCTCTAGTGAAAAGTATAAATGTCAGTGGTCACAAGTATGGCCTTGTATATGCTGGTGTCGGTTGGGTGATATGGCGGAGCAAGGAAGACTTGCCCGATGAACTCGTCTTTCATATAAATTACCTTGGCTCTGATCAGCCTACTTTTACCCTCAACTTCTCTAAAGGTAATATCAAGTGCACTTTTTAATTTTCATGCAGTGAGAGAAAATAAGCTATGATTTGTCATTCAGAAGCAATTTTTAATTCCTATTTGAGATCTCGTGTGGATGTTAGCTTTAATGCTGTCTCCCAATTTCAGGTTCCTATCAAATAATTGCGCAGTATTATCAGTTAATAAGGCTTGGCTTTGAGGTAATTACCGAAATCACATTAAACACGACTCTGTGTTTCTTCAAGTCTGAACAACAATTGCCTGGATTATATTATTTAATATAAGTCGACAGCTGCCTCTTGCAGATAGATTGCGTACAATAGACCCTTGTGGTCCGGCCTTGCGGGAGCTTTAGTAAACTGGGCTGTCCCTTATTTCTACACTGCCCTTTTTTCTATTATATTAGTTGTTAATATAAGTCGAAAGCTGAGTCTCTTAAGGGGTATTTTTAGATCTTATATTGTGCTTGCTTTGATTATGCAGAACACCTTTGAATTTAGAACACATTTTACTCATAAAGAGTCATGGAGTAAAACAGTGGAATATTTAGATGATGTTTGTCAACAGCTATGTTCCTTCTGAATTCTGAGGTGGTTGATAATTCATTTTGTGCAACAAAGTAAACCTGCCATTAATCGTATTGCTTAAGCACGATACAAATGATTTACACTTTTGCTTCTGGTCTGCAAGGGTTATAAGGACGTCATGGAGAATTGCTTAGCAAATACAAAAGTACTAACAGAGGGAATCACAAAAATGGGGCGGTTCGATATTGTCTCTAAGGATGTGGGTGTTCCTGTTGTAGCATTTTCTCTCAGGGACAGTAGCAAATATACAGTATTTGAAGTGTCCGAGCATCTCAGAAGATTTGGATGGATTGTCCCAGCATACACAATGCCACCGGATGCTGAACACATTGCTGTTCTGCGGGTTGTCATTAGAGAGGATTTCAGCCACAGCCTAGCTGAGAGACTTGTTTCCGACATTGAGAAAATTCTGACAGAGTTGGACACACAGCCTTCTCGTTTGCCCACCAAAGCTGTTCGCGTCACTGCAGAGGAAGTGCGTAATGACAAGGGTGATGGGCTTCATCAGTTTCACATGGATACTGTAGAGACTCAGAAAGACATAATCAAGCATTGGAGGAAGATCGCAGGGAAGAAGACCAGCGGAGTCTGCTAGGTCTAGCCACACTTGTTTTCTGGGCTCCGCTTCCATCGTCATCCTGTAGTATGTATTACGTGTGTTGTTTCCATCTAATGTAGTAGTTGGTACCGTAATCTGTAAATGCTTTCATGATCTTGGCTCTGTATATGTTAATAAGCACTGCATTTCAAGTTCCTGTAAGTATTTATGTATGAATCTATCCGTCTGCCATAATTGGTAGAATGCCCTCTCTGCGTCATCTTTGAATTTCACGTGCAATAATATTTGAAATCTACACCTATTATAAATGATGTTTTTTTCCTTGTGTTGAGTGGATGCGAAGTATTATAATTTTAGGTAGATATATAGAAAGGGAGAGTTGGAGAGGAATGTTGGAGCAGATATAAAGTTATTAAGTTATTTTCATGTGATCTGTAGGTATTGAATTCAAACACGTTTATGCGTGAACTTGTTATGGGCACAAAAGGATAATTCAAACACGTTTATGCGTGAACTTGTTCTTGGCACAAAAGGATATTCTACTTAACTGATTTTCCAGGAAAAGAGATTACTTCCATTTTGTTGAATGAAGGTGTTTTTTTGTGGTCTAGCTTGACTCAAAAGTTAATTCGGAGTTATTTGAATCATAAGCTACAAAATGTTGTTAGGTTATTATATTCAGGGATAAATTAAGAGTTATATTTGAACGGGTGAATGTTTTTCCACAATAAACTTAAACGTATTTAAATGGAGCAAGATATCCATAACCTCACTCCAAATATTATTATTCATTTGAGTTTTCAACTGTAGTTGATTGTGTTTTCAGGACAACTCTTATCTTTCCCTATTTTAAAAAATATATACTCTCTACCTTTTAATTTATTTGTTTTGATTTCCTTTTTAATTTTTTTAAAAATAAAAACTCTCTACGTTTTAATTTATTTGTTTTGATTTCCTTTTTAGTTCTTTTTATAAAGTATCTTTTTCTTCTTTTTGATACTATTTAATTTTAAATTCCAGCCACATAAAATTAAAAATACTTTCATACATTTGTTAGTTTAAGATTATAAGATTTAAAAGTTATTATATTTTTTTAATCTCAAAATCAAAAAATAAAATTAAAAAATCAGACAAATTGATTGACATGGACGAAATCAGGAGGTAGTGTAGTGTATTGTCTTTAATTTGAAAACATTATTCTTGTAGTGAAAAAGATCACATTTTAAGTCGGAGAATATCGTCATCAGAAAAAGGGATTTTTTTTTCCCGCCAAATTGGGCATAGACAAATACCTAAAACCAGTGCCGTCTCCCGCCCATACGCCATTGATATCAGATCCAGAATTTCTTACAGCTCCACAAACTCTGAGAATTTCAAACGGAAAATCTGAAGAAGAAAAAATGAGCGGAGTTTTAAGAAACAAAGTACAGAGGAAGTTCAAGATGAGAGGTTACTCTCTCAAAGTCGAAGCTCTCTCCGAAGTCCTCTCTTTCCTTTCCCATTTCCCCTCTGATGCTCTCGACGACGCTCTTGAACTCCTTCTCGATGAGCTTCACCATCTTTCATGTCCGTACATTTTTTTAATTTAATGGACACCCTTTTTGTTCTTTTTGTAATTTAATTGTTATTTTAGTAATTATTGTTTCAATTTGTTTGATTTGGGCAGTGAAGTCTTCGATTTTGGATAGGGAACCGGTGCATAAAGTGGTGAGCCTTTTATTGGAGGCAGATGCCGCTGTTGAAGAGAACCCTAGCTCCAGTTCTTCATCTGCTTCTGCCCTTCGTGTTATTGATACTTTTATTGTCCCTAAATTCCGATACGATCCTGTTAAGAAGTTCTTTCATGAGTATGTTATTCAACTCTTTTATCCATTTTCCCTATTTTTTTTTATTCAATTTATTGAGCCCCTTTATCCTGGTTGCAATTTTATGGATTTGGGTATAAGCAGTAAGCTATTGGTTCGTAAGAAATATTTGTTCTTCTCGAATTCACTAATGAAGTTTACTTGATTTCTATCTGAGAGCTCTAATGCATTATTTATAGCTAAGATATATGTAAAATCTCTTACAGTCCTTTGCAAATTTGAAAGAAAATAGCAAAAACTTAGAGAATTTTTGGTTAATTTGACAGCATTTAAGTGAGGATAATCTAGAAACTGTTTACTGTATGAATTTAAAGAATTTAACTATTTCATTGGAATGTAACTAGAGTTTAAGACAAATTCTTCAATTGTTCAAGTTGATGTTTTTCAGGAATAGGTGTACTGAAATGTTAGTTCTCTGTAGGGAATACTACTAGAAATATTCAACAACAGAGAAGATTGATTATAATTAACAAACTGAAATAGGGGAAATACAATAATAAATCAATAGTGATAGAGAAGAGCAGAAGGAGATGACGAGATAGACAGGACGGGGATGAGAAGAAGGGATATGAGAGGATTCAGATTCTCACAGTAAATTTGTAAAGCCCTCATCATACTACGGAGCACTAGTTATAAACTACATTTCTTCCTAACTTGTCTAGTAGCCTTTCAACACCCTTTTATCAACCTGGATCCAAACATAGTCTACCAATAATTTGTTGGGCCATTTCATCTTTTGACTCTTGTGTAAATACTCTGGAGGCCCAATTACTTCAATTTGGTCTGGCCTTTTCATAATATTCTCTTTTGAATTGGTTTACAAATTGAGGAGGCTGAAATTTTTAGTTTCATGATATTAACTATGATATATTTGTTCATAGCTTAGTCAATAAAAAGAATCAGTTTTAAAATAATTAGATACAAAAACTTTCTGTGTATAATTTTGGAGCCTCCTATGCTTAGAATTTCAAGTTAAAAGAAGAATCCATTTTCTGCGTGTAGGCACACAGGGAGGCTTCCCATTCACGGTGATGCTTCTGCAAAAGCCACCTTATACAAGGATAGATTCCTCTTATTGTTTCAAAGGGTATCTCGTGATCCACGGTTTTCAACCCTTGCTTTTGATGCCTCTTCTTCTGATTATGGCAGCTGTGAGGTGAGCGGCAACAATGATCCTAGTTTACATTCACATCTCTTTAGATGGATTGCAGAGCTATGGCTTTCAAGTTCCTGTGCAAATGATGCTCATGGTAGGAAATTGTTGTTTTGTAGATATCTCCCATTCAATCTCTTGTTGGACGAGTAGGGAGAAGATGGATAATGGGAGTAATATCTCAGTTGGAGGATGGTCATTTCTACTTGGAAGACCTTACTGCAGCTGTTGAAGTAAATTTATCGAGTGCAATATCCTTTTCGATGTTTCATCTTATTTCATTGCTCATGATAGTTGATACAACAATAGGGACTAATATACTTGAGTCTGAGTAGTTAATGACTTCATTAGCAAGTTTTTCTCTTCTGATGTTGAACCATTACTGATGATTGTTCCTCTCTCTTTAGTTCTTTGGTTGTATTAGAAACCTATCCACTTGCTTATATAAGCTATGGTTTTTTCTAAATCCCTTAGTTGCTGGTTTGCTTCATGCATTTACTCCTGTAATTAGTCTTAGTGTCTTACAATTTCACTTCTTGTTTATGTTATTATTCCTTAAATGTGGTCCAGCTTACAATAGAGTTATAGTACTAAAGCACATTGAATCTCCCCCCTCTTTGTTGATGGCAGTGTTCGAATATTGTGTTCTTAGATTTAACAGTATTAGAAGTTACATGCTGTGTTTCCATAACCTGCAGTACAAGATAACTACAGGTTTCTTTGTGGAAAATACAATTGTCCTGGCAGAAGGTGAAATGCAATTGGATGGTGTTTTCCAGGTCAATTCTTGTGCTGAATCTCTTCTTTGAAATACAAGTTTGAAGTAGATAAATACTTGGGAAGAGGTTGATAAATATCAGCAGCAATTTCAATTTTCATACTTAGTGGTGCTTAGGCTCCAACAGAATTTCATCAGTCTTCACTTTTAGTTTCTTATCAATATCTGACGAAGTAACTATAGGAGAAGTAAGTTCTTCTTGTTTAGAACCGATTATATTCCTATTTCTACAAGTGAAGAATAAGATCAATAAAGCTTGCCAGTTGCCAAAGCTGATTGTATTTTGTTCCAGAGCTGATTCTGTACCTGCCAATTCACAATTCTCTCAAGAAAAGCTTGCCAACTCTGGCGTGCTTTAATATATATTTTTTCCTGGTGTGGCTGTTCAGAAATTAGCAACTTTAAGCAATTATTGTACCAAAAGTGATATAAGCCACCACATAGGATTCAATGTCAAATTGTTTGGCTGAGTTTTGAATATGTTAATATTATTGGTAGTTTAATTTATAGCTAATTTGCTAAGATTATCATGCAGGTCAGAACATGTGGATTTCCTCCATTAGAGGACAGAGAAAAGTCCATGGCTTTTTTTTCCGGACTAGACTTCTTTGGTGGTGGTATTCTTACCAAAGAGGAAACTGTATCCTTTTTTAATTGGTTCAATAGGATGAAAATTGAAATACCATGGCAGAACTATTCATGGTAGCTAAGAATGGATATGAAGCTTCCCTAACTTCTGCAATAGCTAAGGCTTGCAGAGCTGGAGAAAAATGCTGTGAATGATATGTTTGTTATACTATCTGATGTATGGCTGGACAATGAGGAGGTATATATGCTTCTTTTTTCTCTTTCTAACCCTCTATTCCTTGTTTTGATACGTTTGGACTAGTTATGGTTGCCTGATCCACCACTCTCCCCTATCCTTAGAGAAGACTTTGGGAAATCTGGAGACAATCCTCAATGGTTATGAAAATGTAGAGGTGGTTCCATCTTTATTTGTCTTTATGGGAAACTTCTGTTCTCAGCCATTTAATCTTTCATTCAAGTCCATCTCCAGTCTCAGGCAAGTGCAAGTTTGAAATTTAGCTGTATTACTGCTACAAGTATTTGTTGATAAAGTAACTGACGAACAAACATAATATTCAGAGTTCAGTTTGGAAAGCTTGGGCAAATGATTGCATCACACCAACGACTAAAAGAGCATAGTCGATTTCTTTTTATCCCTGGTCCTGATGATGTAGGTGTGTTGATAAATCATCACAATTTGTCGTTTAAGCTTTTACCAACTCAATAAAATAATGAGGAGTTTTCTCTTGTTTCTCCAGGTCCTTCAACAGCCTTACCCAGATGTCCTTTGCCTAAATACCTAACTGAAGAATTTCAGAAATATGTTCCTAACGCAATATTCTCCAGTAACCCATGCAGGTATCCTTTGTTTGCTGCACACTAACTTTTAAATTAAATGATGAGAGCTAAAGCTTTGAGCTTCTTTTCAATTTTTTAACAAAAAGAAAACAAGTAATGCAATGGTATAGTTCACAGTTTAGATTTTCCCTCATTTGCCCAATCTAAATTAGCACAATCAGAATTTATGTCATGCAGTCGCTCATGTTAACGTAGGATGCATTCTGGGTGCTTAGGTGCATGCCACAAAGGATTGCATCTTCTGCTGAAACGTTAGCATATTATATTATAGATGAAATGATGCATTCTTAACTCTTCATGTTGAAACAGAATCAAGTTTTATACCCAAGACATTGTGCTATTCCGCCATGATATGCTTTATAGAATGCGAAGATCATGTCTGATACCTCCCTCAACGGAAGAAACCAGTGATCCATTTGAGCATGTAAATTGTCTTCATATTCTCAAAGTTTGGATTTTGTTTGGTATCATAGGTCGAAATTCAGGATATGCTCATGTTTTATTTTCCTTGCAGCTTGTTGCGACTATAATACATCAAAGCCATCTCTGTCCCCTCCCCTTGACGGTTCAACCCATTATCTGGAATTATGATCACGGTCTACACCTATATCCAACCCCGCATACGGTACTTTCCTCTTTCTTCTATATAGAGATTTTTTCAAAATCAGAGTTTCTTCAAAATCTATATTCCTCCATAAGACAAAGTTAAACAATATGCATGTATAACTTCCTATTTAAAAGCTGTGTTGCTAAATCATCAAAATATACCCTGAACTTGATGAAGTTATATTGCACTAGCAACTAAGTTGAAGTTTCAAATTTGATTTTACTTGAACACACAGGTTTTTTCCCTAACACCGAAAATCCGATAGTTTCAAAAAATGCATATCTTTTGGAGAATTTGATACACACCCAACAATATTTTTTGAAGAGTCCGAGGAGATGTATGATTGCAGAATCATGACTAACGTATGTGAATTTGTTTCACAATGTTTCCCATGTGGTTAAATGGTTTTGTAGATTGTCTCAAGCTGAGAATATGTATTCTCTTTTTTTCATACTGTTATGACCTGAAACTGATAACAGGATATGCGCTTGAACTATAATTGATTAAGTTTGATCTGATATTTCCAAACAGATAGTGTTGGGGGACAAAAGTGAGCAGAAAGCTTTCAGATACACAGGAGTTACATGCTTTAATCCTGGTTCCTTCTCAAACGATGGCACATTTGTGGCATACCGGCCGTGCAATCAAGAAGTAGAATTATCAGCATTGTAACTTGTAAGCATCAACTTCAAGCTGGCATCTTAGCTTAGTGATTAACTCTTTGGTGGCTAAGTTAGTCTTAATTCCCTTTCTGCTCTTTCATAGGATGGTTCTGTATATTAATTTATTGTCCTTGGTTGTCTACTGCATTGTTAAGCTCGTAGTATACTCATTCTTACAGGTTGTAACTCATGTAAGACATTTTATTATCAATTGATTTTCAAAGTCAAATAATCTTGGGTGGATGAGAACTTTTAATACAGCCTCTCTACCATCTCAAGGTAAGGGGTAAGTCTGCGGTAGGATTATACTAGGTATGTTGTTGTAACACAAAATTGGATATCCTCATTCAAGACACTTTTTTGGTTCGATTTCTTCACTTCTCCCTCGTGTTACAACAACATATCCACTGAAATTCCACAGGATAGAGTGTACACATCATATTATGTTAGAATTTGAAATTTTAGTGTAGCTCGAATGTATGTAGCATGTTGTGACATATGGAACCTATTTGTTCAAGATGGCACAAGTTTCTTTCCTTTTGAGTAATTGAGAAGACTTTTTTCACATCTGTTATGGTCTGTTCTTGTTATGATTAATGTGTTGTGTCAGTCAAATGTGGATGCTACAAAGTACCAAATGTTGTTTTCATTGTGGACTTGTGAGATTATTGCACTAATTCACACTTATTTATGCCGAAAGAAAAGATTATTTGTGTTAATGCGGTAGTTATTAAAATATTTGTCCATATGCTATAATATCTTTTTGAATGATTTGATAATGAAATTTCTTTTTACACTGATCACACATGTATAACTTAAATTCTTCTTAGATATGAGTTGAATAAACTACTAACAATGACCTAATCTTAGACAAATTTGATCTCATAGGACTTTGAAATTATTATTCAACAGCTCCTTATTTCAGTGTAGAGTATATCTTGTAGGTTTTAGCAATTGATTAGAAGTTCATCGGAGGCGTAGCATCAAATGTCTCATCCTTGATTATTAAATTGATAAACTTTTCTTTGTTTGACTAAGCTTCACTCATAACAGAAATAGCGGGTAATAAGATTTGTAACAAAGTTTTATAAATAGTAGTTTGCCAATTTCATTCATTCATTGTTACCATCATCGTCATTATTATCAACTATCATTGTTGCCTACTATTTATTAATTATGTGTCACTACCATCTTCAATCACAACCGTCATTACTGTCAATCACTATAATTAGTTGTCTTGTCATTAACCATCATTGTCACAACAATTACCCATCACCACGTACCAATCACCATTCTCAACCACAACCACCATTATTGTCAATTATAATCATGTGTCGTTATTACCGTTAGCCACCATTTACCATCATCATGTCATGACTAACCACCACTACAACAATAATTACCTATCTATCGACAACTATCATCATTATTCACCACCCACCATTAACTATAACTATCACTTATCAACCGTTAACACCATCATCACTAGCTACTACCCACATCTAGCCATGAGTCAACATCATCCCAATTGCTATTCACAACCATGCCGTTTGCCAACCATATGTATATATAATATATTTAGCTTTTAATGTTTAAATCTTAATGCATATCTTAATATTTAAATATCTATTCAAATTCAAACATTTAATTTAATACGAAAAATGCTAATTAATAGAATGTTGTATATAATGACTAGCCGTACCGTGACACAAAGATTACAAGGGATTGCATCATTTATTTAGGAATTTGGTTCTCAGAATTAAGAGTTTCGTACATTACCTTAGAAAGTCGGTTACAACTAAAATTTTGAAAAAATAGAGTGGTAACCTACTCGAGGATAGAGAACAAATATTATTTATATTATCAGTTAATACAAAACAAGATCCTCACTAGACATGTGTTGGTAAAGATTTTCACACAAAGGAATGTATGTATCTATGCAAGTTAGAACTACTAACTAAGAACGTTAAATGGTTCGATTTGGATAGATTTTTCATTAAAATTAAAATTAAAATTAAATCAATTATGTTAATTTTATTGATTTAATTTTAAAATTTATAAAATTAAATCCAATCAGATAAAATTAAAACCATTGATTTGGTTCAATTTTTCAATTTATAACTAACTAATGAAAATTTATAATAGTAACATAATAGTGGCATGAGACAACAATTTCAAATGAACGTGAGGAATTAATAAATTCTCTCTATTATCGCAAGAGGATGAATACATCTGAATTTTCTACTATTTTTCAACATTATTCCAAAACTTAAACATGTTTAAGTTGCATAATTATAGAGCTTCCTCCATCTCATATGTTTAATATCCACGTAAGCAAATATACTACATTAAATAGAATGATCAATCCTTCGAACATTAAAGGGGCAAGTGAGTAGATGAATATTTTTAGCAGTGAAAATTAAAAACTGGTTATACACCATATACCACATATAGACAATTAAACTTAAAGAGTGTTGGGTTTGGATATATTTTTAAAGAAATGAAATTTAGAGGTGTTATTTAGTGCATATGAAATAAGTAGATCAAAATCAAATTAATTAATAAAAGGTATAAAATAAGTATAATTATTTATGAAAAATCGAATATCATATATTCAAATAATTACAAAATTTATGTATACAAATTATTGGTTCAATTCAATTATTTTATTATTATTATTTTAGTAAAAATCAAATCAAACATTATGGAATTTTTAAAATTTCATACCAAATATAAGTTCTTTCAATCGATTTGGTTTGATTTTTTCGCCAAACCGTGAACACCATCCCTAACATAATTCTACCTAACATTCCAAAAACTAATTGTTCATTGAAGTATTCACCTGAAATTAAAATGTAAGTAACAGAAAAGTGCAATCTTGGAATTTAATGAAGATGATTGAATAACAAATTTATTGTCTTACTTAAAACAAGAAGTATAAGTTTCCTAATGAGAATAGATAAATTAGGTCAGGTAGGTGTATACCTAATTTTAAATGTCAAGAGGGGAATGGGAAAATAAAATTATTTAACTTGCAAATGGTTAAGCTGTTAGTTTTCAGTTAGCAATTTGCAGTTGAGAAACTTAATTGTGTAGCTTCAAATCCTATAAATTTTAATCCATGTAAAAGAATGTGTAGAAAATGATACGATGAACAGACAAGCTAACATATTGATTAGGTGAACATACTCATATAAGAAAAGAACAGGCGGACGTTTGACCATGAAAATTTTTATTTTTATTTTTGGAGTTCAACTTCGAGCAATTTCCAAATTTCATTTTTTGAAAATAAAAATTACTTTTTATTTTATTTTCACAATAAAACATGATCAAACGTTTATTAAACGACAAAGGAAGTATAATTGCATGATTACATTGTTGTTTTTCTTACAATTGAATTTAAATTCATATAGCTTGTGAATTTCCTTTGTGTGTGATTGTTAATTTTGTATGATAGGCATGCTAGATTAATTATTGAGGTATCATAAGCTGGTTCGAAGCCAAAGTAATATTTTGAGTCATACATAAATGAATTAGATATAACTCTATCATTGTCTTGTGCAAAAGTAATGTATATAGTCTAATGGGAAAATACGTATCTACTATAAAACGCGAGATTTGTCACGTAGGATGTGTATGTCTACGTATTTAATTATAGGATAGCAAGTGAATGTTTAAATTGACTTTTTTTTAGTGATTTTTGGCTTTTATGCTATTTTTTTTGTTTTAGAAGTATTTAAATAACTTAAAAAATACTTTCAAACATTTTTAAGATTGAAAAAATACCAAAAAAAAGTCAAAAGTTGGGTGTTCCCAACCTATGACTTTTAACTTAGAAGTCACTTAAAAAATGTCAATCCAAACATCCCATAAATGTTTATTTCCGCACACAAATATTGAGAGTGTATAGATATCAGATAAGATCAAATTAAAAGGCACAATCACTTTTATATTTTCTTAACTTCCATTGGTTCATGTACAAATTACATGTGTGCTAACTACTCTCTGTAAAATGAACAAACTTTTTGTAGGTACGACTGTATGAGTGTAAAAGGTTGAGCGACAACACATAGATGACTAGTCGATTACTTTATTTTTATGAATTATACATATAATAAAACTTTGTGGTATATATATTTGGTACGGAGAACTAATATATTTCGCTAAAAATAATGAATTTGAAATGTCGCTTATGAATCTTGTTTTTTTTACTTCCCTTGGTGAATTCATTTTCTATATTTTTTAAGAACTTGTTTTCTCAGAGAAAATGTTTTTTTAACCAATCAAATGTAGAAAAATTAAAAATTATTATATTTTTCCGAGTCATACCAAACACACCCTTAATATAACCATATGTACGTAATAGAAATATTTTAGAATATATGCATGCATGTATTTTCCTTATATATGTATCCTAAATTTGACAATATATGCTGATGAACCTTTAAACGTGGATATGCATGCGTAAATCATATCAAGAGAAATAAAATGAAGAGATTAAGGAAGTAGGTAAAACCGGTGAAGACACAAGATCTAGTCCAACATTTTTATTTTTATTTTTTAGTTTTCTGGTATCTACATTGGAGCAAGAGGCAGAGCTAGCTAGGTGGGGGTTCGTGGGTTCGAACGAACCCAATAGATTTTCTGTAAATCATGTATTTGTACGAGAAAATTAAATAAGTATATGTATATTACCTCGTGAACCCATAAAAAAACTAATTGACAACTTATAGGTGAGGAAGGGGTTGTGGTCTCGTGGAAATGATTTCCACGTTAGAGTTGTGGGTTCAAATCCAACTATCAACAAAAACTTTCATTTTTTAAAAAAGGAAATTTAGATCCCCAAAACTCCTAATCCTGGCCCCGCCTTTGAATTTGGAGCCTGACTAAATTCAAATTTGCACTGGGAAGTCCACCTCTGATTGGAGCCCGATTAAATTCAGATTTGCTCCGGGATAACGCACTCCCTAACAAAGGCGACTCCTTACCCAGGGGACTCGAACCAGAGACCTCTGGTCAAGGATAAAAGAGTGTTTACTGCTACACCACATCCCTGGATGGTTAGTGGAACATATATCAATATGCTATATAAATTTATTATTATTATTATTATTATGAAGCTTATACTTTTGCCATAAGCCCGTTAGGCGATTACTTGTTAATCTTCTCTAGACTATAGAGATAAATTTATAATTTGAAGTTTATAAAATGTACATGTTCAATGAATTCCTAAATAAATATACATGATTTAGAAAATTCCTCCATTGATCAACATTGTTGAACTCTATCGAATTTGTACTTTTCATGCTTCAAATTTACCTTCAATACGACAAAAATCATAAATTAATTTTCTTTTGTTGGTAGTTGTTACGAACGAGAAGGACTAGGTGGATACATGACATATATAGAAACTTATAAAGTTTTGCTTACAAATGGAGGTTGAGAGATGAAGAAAGACGTAGACTTCCTTAATTGTAACAAGTCCAATTTCACATAAAATAAAATATAGTAAAAATAACCTAAGTTAGGCCAACTATATGAAAGTAGTCTTATGACAAGTCAACA